CCCAGGAGGACAGCTTGAGGCTCTGTCTCAAAAAAAAAAAAAAAAAAGACCATTAAGTCCTCGGTCAAATAGACACAAGGACCATTAAGTAAAAAAAAGTCACTGAAATACCAAAAATAAGGTGTTTTTCAAAAAAAGAAACCTAGCCTCAAACTGTAATTTAATTCAGCACATGCACCAGCCATCAATCCTAAATGTTATTTGCTAGACCTGCAAATGGGACATAAAATTAGCTCAACTATCACGCCAAGATGTTTTAGCTCCGTCTAATCAGACAAAACTTCCTCCAATGGTGTAAATAATTCAGGCTCCATGTTTCAATCCCCAGCTTTTGGTACAAAGAAGACTAACATGTGATCCCACGGTAAAAACTGTTACTATAGAATATGTCCTAAAACTAAGTTGGCAAGAACTTCCGTGTGGTCCCTTCTCCGTACAAAACACAACACTTGACATTTGATTCATCCCTTCATTCTCCTGACAGCCTTCCACAGAAAAGAGAGACAACTAATCTTACCATCAGGTAAAAGACACTTTTTTTCACCTGATGTTAGGAGGATTTAAATGGGCTTCCCTCTACACTATTCCAGTAAATATTTAAGCATTTACTAAAAAAATGGAAACTTATAAATTCAAATAATTTTACCAGTCCCTCTTAAAAAATGACATGACATCTTACTTTTTAAGGAAAAAAAAAACAGTATGCCCTTATAAATATTTCCTCATAAACTTTCCTTTGTAGATGCTTTTAAAACCATATTCTAATTTAGCTAATCCAGACAATAATATAAAGGAAAAGTCTTAAAGGTTGTTGCTACAGTTACGTTATTATCACAATTTTGTAAACCGCAACTACGTATTTAATACAAAGCAGCAACTGTGGGTATGTTTTTAACAAAATGCATCTCTGTCTCAGCCTAGAGAAACTTTCTATGAGAAAACAGGAGAGGAGTTACCATGGAGAAATTCATTACAGATTCAGGGAGGCCTTCTTCCTCAGAAATAGAATGAAAAGAAAAAGTCATTTTATAATAAATCTGATACTTCTGTGTGACTTGGAAGTTGGTCTGAAAGTTCATCTTCATACAATTACATGTGGATAATCAACTACACATCCTCTGCAACAGGTGACATGAAACTGCAGTTCCAAAGCAAAGCAAAGGGATCAAATTAGTTAAGACGCACGTTCCGGTGGTTTTGTACTTTTATTTTGGATTTAACCAAAATGATTTTGAATCGGATGAATTACCAAATTTGGTTTTGTTTGGTTTTCTGCTTTGCTTTTTTAACCAGCCATTTACCAGCAACTGTTGCACGAGCCCATTAGCACGCAAAGAATAAAAACAAAAACACAGGACCCGGTAAGGCTACCCTACTAACTCAACTGATCCATTTCCTTAACACAATTTTTAAACCACACAGCTAGGAGGGTGAAGAGAAAAAAGCATGTTTTAGGTGTGTTTGTGTGCCACAGTCTGTCTAAATCTTTGATTCCCTTTTAAATAAGAGATACATAACAAAAATCTAAAAGAAACCCCATTAGAAATGCAAAGAGGTCTGCCAAACAAGGGGCTTCTTTCATTCCAAAAATCCACACCAAAACAAGGGGAGAAAAATGAATGCAATGGATATGTGTGTGCCAAAGTTTCAACCCTGCTCGATGGAGACACTGCACTGGCACAAATTTTGAAGAGAAAAAAGAGGGGGTGGGGGGGTAAGAGAGAGAGTGTGTGGCCTGCAAACTGCAACAATGCAATCTCCATTTTGAACAATGCGCCTCTTTCCTCTTGTAAATCTAGTTTTTTGCCACTTGAAGTGCCGTCGCATTTCCCTTCGGTTTGGAGGGGTGGCGGGATGGGGGGAGATCCGAGCAGGATGCACAGCACTCGAGAGGGAGTGAGCAAGGGGGGAGGGTAGAGGAGGTGGGGAAGGAGTCTGCAGCAACTGGGCTGGGTGGGTACCTGGAGTGCTGCTGTAGGTGCTATGGCTCCTGAAGCTGCTTTCTGTGCAGTAACTGGCGTCGTCATCATCGTCTTCCATCTCCTCCGGATAATCGGAATCATCATCATCCTCCTCCATCTCATCTTCCTCGTCGTCCTCAGAATCCTGGGTCTCCTCAGCGTCGCCGTCCTCCTCCTCCTCCTCCTCGGAGACCATGTCCTCCTCTTCCTCCTCCTCCTCGCTCTCGTGGTCATCGTACACCACTTTGTTGACTGCCCTGCGGGCCGGGGTGGTCCGGGCCAGGTGGCC